GCTGTCAATATAGCCTCACCCCACCATTCCTTAGATAGTTCCACAGTCTCTAACATAGCATTAACCAAATCAGTTAGAGTGCGGTTCTTTCTCTCTGTAATCCCATTGGACTGTGGTGAGTATGGTGGCGTCCTCTCATGAATAATTCCGTGCACCGCGTAAAACTCAAAAAAATCATTTGAGAAATATTCTCCCCCGCTATCAGACCGTAAACGTTTGATTTTCTTCTCAAGTTGATTTTTACCTCAGCTTTATAGACTTTAAAATAATGCAACGCTTAATCTTTAGTTTTCAATAAATACATGTAGCAAAATTTAGTACAATTATTTATAAATGTCATGAAGTATTGTTTACCGCCTTTAGTTAATTCGCCATTCATTTCATATAAATCAGAATGAACGAGTTCTAATGGTGCCAAGTTTCTCGCCTCAGCAGCCTTGTGAGGCTTGCGCGGTTGCTTCGATTGCACACACACCTGGCACTTAGAATCTTTGACTAAGTTAAATTTCGAGATTAAATTCAAATTTGCAAACCACGTGAGACAGCTAAAATTAATGTGACAAAGTCGTGAATGCCATATATTCGACTCATCCGAAACATTAACATTATTTACTACTTTATTACGCACATCATCAAACAAAGATAAGCGGAACAAGCCTCCGCAATCATAACATTTTCCAACAAATATTCCATGTCTCGACACAACACACTTATTGGACTCCAACACAATTTTAAAACCATCGCGACACATTTGAGAACCGCTAACAAGATTTTTCTTGACGAAGGGGACATGCTGCACATTCTTTAATAGCACCGTCTTTCTCAAAGTAAACTTCAGAACGATCGTACCAGCACCAAGAACACGCGCATGTGTACCATTTCCCATCAGCAAGGCTCCAGTCCCGTCAGCCTGATAGGAAGTAAACAAAGAAACATCAGCAGACACATAAATATTAGCACCGCTATCCATCCACCACTCAGGTGAAAGACAAACTGAAAGAACAAAAGCTGAAGAATTACCATACCTAGATGTTCCTCCTCCTGTCTCGCTAATCACCATGTTTGCTGATTTTTTTTCTTGCTTATATTTGTGGTCTAGGCACGTACTTGACCAATGCTCATCACTCCGGCAAACAAAGCAACCTCCACCTTTCTTATTATTTTTCTTCTTAAACTCAGCAGTTTGCTTAGGCTTTGTATTGTTGTTCTCTTGCATGTTCTTATTCTTTTTATTACGGGATACAAATGAGTTTTTCTTCTGCACCATATTGGTAGCGGAATACTCAACTCCTTTTCTACAGTTGTCTTTTGCTCTCGCCCTCTTCTCAACATCAAGAGATCTAATAAGCTCAGCTACGCTAAACTCTTGTCTCATGTGTTTTAGAGAAGTAGCAAAATCCCTCCAAAAAGGTGGTAGCTTAGCGATTATACCGCCGGCCACAAACTTGTCGGACAACAAACATGGAAAATGGTCTAGTTCCTTTGCTAGCACCTGTATTTCATAAGCTTGTTCCACTACAGAATGGTTTTCAACTATTTTATAGTCATACAGCTGCTTCATAAGGTACAGCTCACTTTCAGCATCAGAAAACTCCAAACTTTGCCTCAAGAGCATCCCATAATTCTTTGTCTGATGTACAAGATATGTAGTTTTTTTCATACTTACTATGAAGTGCACTAATCACGGCGCCACGAAACAGGTTATCGGCAGCCAAGAACTTTTGCTCCTCCTCAGGAGTAAATTTTTCAGGCTTCTCTGTGCGGCGTGATAGCAGTTCATAGCAGTCAACCACAACACCATCTTGGCACGCCATATCATGAAATTTTTGCCATCAAAATTATTCGGCTTTAAAACAGCAGCAAAACCACTGACAGAAAATTACCTAACATTAGGTTTTTAGAATGTTAGAAAATTAGGCATTTTCATGGTCAATTTAATCCAGAAATAAAACATCAGCGAGTTCGTGACAACATATATGTGCATGTGTATGTGTATGTCAATAACAAATGTTACAGCATGCAAGTATGACATACCGATCGATACAGTAAGTACGCAAAATACGGCAATCAGAGAGTTAAGAGTGTACCTAACGGAGGGTCCCATGCCGAGGGCATCGGAGGCTCTATTCGCACCAGACATAGTGCGTTGCTCGAAGTCATGGACCACAGTCGATGCAGAAAGGTGTTTGTAGTGCAGTCCCATGAACGGTCACCGAGAAGAAGACACATTGCTGTTTCGCGAGTGATCACCAGGAAGAAGACGTCTTGGACGAGCAGTCGCGAAATCGCTCCCCAAAAACCTAATCGCCGCACACCCCATGCAAGGTTCGCAGTGGACGAGGGTTCCGGAGGCACCTGCTCTTCCGTTGCTCCGTGCGCGCAGAGGTACGGCACGGGGAAAACCAAAGTGTGGCTGAGATGTGGTGTCTCGGAAGCGAAGCGGAAGAATTGGACAAACGGAGGACTTCTAATTTATGCCCATGGCAGGGGAGGGAGAAAGCTAGAGGAGGAACTCACCCACGCCCACGCCCACGCCCACGCCCACGGCCCGGCCCTACCGGCGGCGCGCGCGCGTGGCACTCCTGTGTCCTTTTCTCAGCTTCTCAATTAAGATGGATAATTTCCAACCAAATAAGCTGAGTCAACGTGCAGTCAAAACCCCATACGATACTAAACCATACAACGCTTAATGTTACGGATCATAAAGTTTTATTTAATTTGTTAAATATTATATGGGCCAAGCCCATAACAAACACAAACGTCCGGTCAAGTGAACCGTCGCCTCGTTCCGATCCTCCTCAAGGTGTCACTGGCCTCCGACGCGCCCGCCTCCCTTGCTTTGCTTCCTCTTGAGATCTCGGTCGCAAATTGCAGTAGCCGCGATCGATCGATCGAGCCCTAACCTCTCGTCGAAAGAAACAGGGGCTCTAGCCTCTAGATCTGGATTGCGATCGAGGATGCGGCGCGGTGGCGGCTGATGTCGGTTTGGACACGGATCGGAAGGTGACCGAGAGAAGAAGATATAGTAGTAGCTAGATATATTTTCGGTCCGTCTCCGTATTGGCAGTAACGTACGCGACGTGGGGGCGGAGTTGCTGCATGCAGCACGTCAAACATCAGGCCCGTTGCTGCCTGGCTCCCAGGCAGTCGCATGCACGATTGCACTTTTTTTTTTCTATACCCTACTAATTCACCAACTTTTTCTTTTCTAGGTCCACATCAAAAAACCGTACCCCGCTGAGAAGCCTCCCATCCATCCATCTAGAAAAGTGTACCCAGAAAAACAACACCTTAAAACAGACTATCCAAATTTATTCTAATATTTCTCTCTCCTTACTCACTAAAATCGAACGGTTAAGATGTTGTATATCAACCTCCTCCCATGTGCAGGCAACGACCGCGCCTCTACTTCGTCCGTGCGCCCCGCTCTGGGTTCGATTCCCACTTCCACGTTGTTTTTCTCCTTTTTTTTTTTTTTTCTGAAACTAGATATATGCTCGTGCATTGCACGGAGCCACGAGAGGATCAATTGGTGCTTATTTTTTTATGGATCTATGTACATATACTTATACGATCGTATTTCTTCAATTATTTTATAAGGGAAAATAGTCACTGTAATGTCACAATGACATCACATGTCGTCACGTCCACGTGGCTATGTAGTGCGCGCTGAAGAGGGGCGCAACGAGTGAACCGTCGTGGCTGCTGCTGTGTAGGTGGTCGTGGAGCGCGCCGTGGAGAGTATAAACTCGAATACCGGGAAGCGCTTGTCGTAGAAGCCCAGCAGTTGCACCAGGTTGCGGTGGTTCACGCGTGACAGCAGCAGAAGCTCTGCGTCGAAGTGACACCGTACCGCTGGCGGCCACCAATGCCGTTGCGCTCTGCCTGCTTATGGTCACCTTGCACCTGTAGGGGAGCTTGGCGCGGTACACTGATTCGATGTTGCCGCTCCAGAGAGCCCGTTGGCGAGGCGCGTTAGTTCCCGGAAGGCAGGGAACCAGAGAGAATTCGGAAAACAAGGTGTCGAACGGAGCGGGAAAAGGCCACGAATTTTTGCTCATACCTACACCGAGATGATAATAATCCTAGATCTATATCTGTGTGTTACAACGAGGGTAAGAAATTTCAACATTACAAGAGAAGCACTTAGAAAAATATTGAGTCATTGAATTTCAAGAGCCTATCTTTTCTATTGTTGCTCAGAATAATGCAACTTTTTTTTGGATAAGAAGATATAAAATTATATAATATATATATGCAAACTTACGGCCCAAACTCCATCCGGCCCATTGCAAGTGTGTACGTCGTTTTGGACTTGGTTTCTGACAAGATAGTTTCCCACTTCGAGCAGGACCGGTTGATTTTCACGTGCAGGGCGGAGGCGGAGGCGGGGGCGCAGACGATAACAGTAATTATTTTTTAATATAAGGTGCAGAGAAGAGAAACAAAAGCTCAATGCGAGCCCAGCTCAGGAGAAGACGGCAGAGCCTCCACGCGCAGGAGCGCCCGCGCCTAGGGTTCTAGCGAAAGGCACGGTGGTTGCAAATCCTGGCGAACAGTGCGGCAACCAGATTGGCACACCCTCACTGGCGCCGTTGCTGCACCAGGTGGAGGGTCGGCGGCGGCCAGCCGTGCCAGCCAGCTCGCGTCGGCCGGACGTACTATCCAGCCCGCGGTGGCCGGATCTGCAGCGCGGGCCCCCTCCCCCGCGGGTGACGCACACTGGCGCGGCGGGGCCCGACGGTGGCCGCCCCCGGCGAGGCAGCGCACCGGCCCGTAGGCCCCCGGTCCGCCGCGGTCGATTGTTGCTGCGGACCTCGGCCTCAGCTTCCCGCTGTAGTTCGACCCGATCGAGGCGCTCCATCTCATCTTCCCCCGCGAGGATCCGCTGGTGCGTCGATGTGCGTACGTGTGCGTTTAACGTTCAAGTTTATTTGATACATGGATTGCTTATTAGTCCTAAAAAAATAATAATCAATCACGGCGAACAGGCTTACAGAATGCCGATAGGCCAGGGGTCAAGCCAACGAGGTCCTGTAATTAGCTACCGTGATATCGTTACAATATACGACTTCGAAAATTCTGTGTCTTTTGGATTTCAATCATCACTGGGTGTCATTACCAATTGGTACTACAGTACTATACCAATGAATATCTTCAGTCATGTATTTTCTTATCCTACACAAATTAGTAATGGTTAGGATCTGTGCACCTAAAATTATTTTTTCCCTTAATTTACAGGTTCTACAAAACTATTTACACGGATCAGGAAATGTCTTGGATGTTGCAATCAGGGCATACAAAGTTTATTTGGTAGAAAGAAGCACAGAATCTGCCATAAACCATGTTGCATCTGACAGTGAGGTAGGCAATAGCATCCTATCTGAATCTGATGGTATGCAGCCATGTTTAATATCTCAATATTATTTTCATGCAAACAAATTTATTTAATCATTTAAATCAGCTGCCGTTAACTTAAACCTTACTGCATCAATGCCTATTGCAGTTGACCTGACAGTGGAAACCATTCCCACCAATTGCTCTGGATGGGCAGAGCAAATTGTCAAGGAGATGTCCTCTGCTTCAAAATACTCAACCTGTTGGAAAAATCTGCTGCCCGGAGTAGCCCAGATGAAAAGAGAAAAGTGAACAACTTATCGAGATTATCTAAAGTTGAATACTTCTTTATTATATTGTGAATCATGCTTAACAATGCTTAGTTCTCCTTCCTCCCAAGCTGACCTGAATTTTTGTTGTCTCCCAAGCTGACCTGAAGGATTCAGTATTTTGTTTTGTTACAAGTCCTCATAGGCAATGTCATACTGAATTTTTGTTGGACACCACTGTAGCGTTAGCACGGGCAATGTCATAAACTATTTATTTGTTTTGTTGGTTGTCTCTGAGCAATTAATTCAACTTTTTCAGTAAATGTGGTTTGGTATTGAGTCGCCGGTTGGCTTTGAATTCCATTTCCTCAGTTAGGTTTATCATGCATTGTGAGAGTATGTGATTAAGGGTCAACTTGTTCTGACCCCAGATTATCTATTTTAGGGACTTTGCTGCCTTTCTGGTGGACCAAAGTTGCAATCTTTAGGCAAAGTGATCCTGGTGGCGCTGGCAGCCACCATGCATGTTGTGAGGTTCAAGCTTTACTGGTAGAAAATAAACACAAAGAAACAGGCTTAAATCATTCAAAATACTCTTCACTTATTATATGTAGAGATTCAATTGTGGAATGTTTTGCACATAACATGCATCAAGTCGCAACATCCGTGGTTAATTTAACATTATAGTTGCAGAGTTACAGTTCTTAAACTGGTGGTCTGTTCCTATTTTCGAAAGGCACTTCTGTTACCATATGCACTTTCTGGATTTGATCCTCAAGTCAAGTGTGCTGAACTGAAACTGTACTCTGCATACAGTCCTGTCAATGTCGTGTGTTGGAAGCGCGCCATCTGCCTGGAATTCATTGGGAAGGTTAGCATACCAAATACCAAACAAACCAAAGGCTTCAACTTTCTAAGGAGTTCATCAGCTGTGACCTATGCTGATGAAACTCTACAGTTGCTCACGTTTTTCAACATATAATGTGATGATCGTTTTAGCTATGCAAGCCGATGTGTTGGAGTACTATGATCAGACCGTCTCTTCTCGTAGTGGATCCTTCTACATCCCTGCAGTTTTCAGGGTACATTTGTGACATGTATATTAGCTTCTCTCAATTGGGTTATTGTTGAAGTGGCATCATCTTCTCACTATGCTGTTCTGGTGTTGTTCAGGTTCCACAGTTGCTGCAGGTAGTAAAGAGAAGAAGAGTTAAGCAGAGCCTTAGCCGTAAAAACATTCTTTACAGGGATGAATTCACCTGTCAGTAAGTACTGCATTACTTACTGCTTTTAACTTCACAAAATTCCCCTTGTATGTGTAAGGTTGTGTTCGTTTCTCTCTGCATATCTCAGGCTTTATAGTTTCCCTTTTCATATCCTGAAACAAAATCCTCTTAGTTTTCCTCAAGTTTTAATTGAGAGATTAGTTTTGTATTGAGTGTCAAGAAAGTTCTCAATTTTCATCACCTGCAGATACTACAATAATGGAATGATATATTTTATCTTCTTTTCCAGTTTTTCAAGCCAGCAGCTTCATGCTTAATATATTCGGCGAGGCTTGAATGGGAGATTCAGGAGACGGTTTTACCCTGCGAAGGTGCCGTTGCGGGATATATCAAAATCTGGTGCTACAGATTTGATTTGGAGCAATTGAACCAAGCAATTCAAATGAGTCTTTTCTGTTGCCTGATTGTAAGACTGCTTCAGGCGCTCAACGACCGGGTGCGCACTAGGGACATCGACGCCTCCATGAGGTGGGCCGCCTCACCCGGGCCTCCGTGAAGTGATTTCCCCTAATTGTCATACTACTCTCGCTCATGATATTCTTTCATGTCTCGCAGGGGGAGCTAGAATACACCTGAGATTTGCAAAAAGGCACGTTATTTTACCGAAATATCTTAGATACTTATCTTGTATACAAATCAACAGAATGGTGCTTTACAGAACTTTATTAGTCTTCTAGCCTGTTCAGGTTATACAAATTATGTTCTTGATGGACCTGCTTCAACTTAAGGAGTTTACCATTTCAGGCTAGCTGCGCCAAATGATGCAAAGATCTATTAATTGTTTCAAATTTGTGTGCTTTTGCCTTGTATGTTAAAAGATTTCATTTCCTTGTGCGTTTGTAGGCCAATGATGCAATTGGAGACGGGAAGGAGGAAGGTGCCACTACTGCAGATGGGCTCTTTGCCGAGTCGGCAAAGCCCCTATTGCACTCGGCAAAGGCTTTGCCGAGTGCCGCACTCGGCAAAGAGCAGTCGGCAAAGAACCCGTCGGCAAAGGTTTCTTTGCTGAGTGCCACATATCGGGCACTCGGTAAAGTCTTTGCCGAGTGTCATGTCAGCACTCGGCAAAAAAAATCCGACATCAACTCTGACGGCCTCTTTGCCGAATGTCACCTCAGCAGCACTCGGCAAATAAATTTTTTTTTTATGAAAATTCTTTGCCGAGTGCCATACTTTTGCACTCGGTAAAGAAATTTTTTCTTTTTAAAAAAAAACTTTGCCGAGTGGCTTGGCTCTGGCACTCGGCAAAGCTGGGAAATTGGGTCTCTGCTTCCCAGCTTTGTTGAGTGTCATGGTTACGGCACTCGTCAAAGCCCTCTTTGCCGAGTGTGGCACTCGGCAAAGAGGGGAAAAATACTATTTTTTTGGTTTTTTGCTTTCCATCAGCACAAACAAAGAAATCACATATATATCAACACACAGCACAGGATATATCACATACACATCCATAACCCATCACATACACATCCACCATCAATAATACATCACATACAAATCCATTGTCCATAATCCATCACATACATTCGCATCATCCATGACAATATCCATCACAATATATATATATATGTCTCTAGTAGTAGTCCAACATAAGGCTAAGTCTAACACAAGTCTATGCAACATGAAAAGAAACAAATAAACGGTACCTACTGCCAGCCTCCCCACCCGGAGTGTGAACTGCCACCTTGAGGAGGGCTAGTTGGCCACTCGGCCTGTGGAGAAGGGCCACCTTGAGGAGTCAGGTTCGAACCCGCTGACTATGGCTGCACAAAGGAGAAGCGAATTCATGAGTATCTACAGGAGGGCCGCACAAGTTAAAGGAATAAACAACCATATATACTCACCGGAGTCCTTACAGGAGGAGGAGCCACAACTGGAGTGAGCAGCGACTAGGGCACGATCACACCTGGCAAGGCCTGAAGGCTCGCCACGAAGCTGAACATGTCCTGCAGCCTCTGCGCCTCTGTCGCCCTCTGGGCTTGTACAGCCTTCATCTATAGCCGATGGGCCTCCGCCTGGGCCGCCTGCTAGGCCTCCAACCTTCGCAAGTTGGCCTGCAACATTCCACCCGCAATGTTTAAACAATGCAAAGGCAAGGTAGATGTGTAAAAGCAATGAACGACGAATAAAACAGTACTAACCTGGAGTTTCGCCATCTGCTACTGTGAGCTCTGTTGCCGAGAGTGTATGGGGAGGGAGGAGCTCGTGCTCCTTGCTCGAATCTCGGCGAGGATGGGAACAGAGGTGGAGTCGACTGTGCTGTCCGCTATCCAGTACCGGCCGTGCTGCTTCCCTCCTCCCAGCCTCATCAGGAGGTCTGTGTCCAGGGGCTGGGTGGCCGGATCGAAGTCCTCCCCATGGCGCTCGCGGGCCGCCGAGGTGTACTCGCTAAGCTTGCTGTGGACGCTCGCATTGGTGTACGCCTCGGACCCGTCCGCCGGGTTGTAGGTGACTTCCGGGGCCATCGCCTTGCCCTTGTGTGCTAGGGCATACGCCATGAACTCGTTGCATTTCTGGCCTTGGTTCGCCTGGTACTGCGAGGAAAACACAAAGATGATTACAAGTAATGAGAATTGAGCGTTAGAGTAAATAAATAAAGATGAAAACACAAAGAAGATTACCCTTGTCTGGGCGTACGCGCTGAAGCTCCGGTTGCCTTGGTGGTGTGGCGCCCCACCCATCTACAGGCGGCAGTCCTGACGGATGTTGTGCTTCTCCGCCCACTCCTCCGAGAGCCACCTGTCCATAATGGCCTCCCAGCAGAGGCGGTGCCTGGCGCACCAATCAGGACATTGTTGCATGCCATCAAGTTATTGATATGTCAGAAGATGAAATAAAGCCTACCTATTCTTCATGGAAGGAGTCAGTATTAATGTTTCGTACATACCGAGAGGTACTGCTCTTGGTGAGCGTCCTGGTCCTGGCATCGGCCTTCCTTACCACCTGACCAAGGACGTCGGCGGTGTAGTTGATGATGCACTGGAGCCGCGTCTTGTGGTACAGGTCCGAGAGTCGGGACCTACAGACCTTGTCCTGCACTCGCGCTGCCCGATCCTCAAACCCTTCGTCGCACCTGAAGAAGTCCTGCATACAGACATCATGTATCATTTCATTATTTCAAGAACGACCAATGAATGCGTAGTATTGACCAATTTAGTGCGATGAAGACTCACCCAGAACTCGACCTTGATCCGCGCCGCAACGGTGCCGAACTCGCTGTCCTCGGCGGCGTAGAAGTGGTCCCACGTCCAGGGCGGCGAAGTCATCGAGGCGTAGGTGACCATGCCAGGGTAGTGCTGCCGAATTAGAAGGCCCAAGGTGCCATTGATGTGCCAGCTCGTTCCGGACATAACTTCCCAGTTGCTGCAAGAGTCATTAAGAAGAATTGTTAGTCTCCAGTTCGATTTTCAACATGTCATATGAAATAGTATTGAAATAATACTTACTTATCGCCGCCGGGTCGAATCACCGGGCATCGGTGAAGTGGGATCGGCCGTGCCGGGAGCTGCGAGGGCCCGCACAAGTAAACTCCCGACGAGGTAGAGCTAGAGGCAGTGCAAGTGGAACCCCCTGCTATCGCTATCGCCGCCTCCCCGTGGTCCGACGAGTTAGAGGAAGTGCCACCCCCTCCTATGTGCAGGCCCACCGCCTGGTCATCCTCGTCCACCGACGGGGTGGCAGCCGGCTGCACCCTCGTCCTCGGACGACCGCGGGGGTGGCCGCTCCTCGTTCTCCTCGTCGGCGGCTCCGGCAAGGGGTCCTCCTCAGCGTGGGGTGGTGAGCGCTCCCTCATGTAGAGGGAGTTGACCCCCCCGATGGGTCTGCCTTCCGCCTGACATTTTGTCGAGTGCCTGCAATTTCAAAGAGTAAACCAATTAGCACAGTTAAATTACAAGTACTTATAAAGAGATGCAAAATGAACGAAACATAATTGCAATAATAATAATAATAATAATAATATAGTATTACATGAATTAGAAATATTCTTCACGATCAGCAGCGGCTAGATCATAGGTGTCGTCATCACTATCAATATTGTCGAGTAAATCGGGCTCATCTCCATCGTTGTCATCATTGTCATCGCCTAACTGTAATCGCTCAAGCATTTGTAAGTCCTTAGCATTTTGCACCTCTTCTCCGTCGTCCTCATCTCCATCGTCCTGATCAATGTCATTGTCTACTTCCATGCCCATCAGCGAAAACATGTCTATGTCAAACCTCCCTTCTAGCCCCTCTGGTTGATAGAACTCCCGTGTGTTTGGGTCAAAGTTGTAATCCTCATCGTTTGGGACAGGCAGTTTACCGTGTGGCGATACCAACTGCACAAGGTACCAACCGATAAGATTGGGGTGTTTTTGGCACGCCCATGGGAGATAATAAACTTGCGTGGCCTGTTGAGCCACAATATAGACATCCTCTCCTTGATAGATAGAATCCTGTCGAATTTCGACTTGTCCAATCTCAAGGGCTATTCTCGTGACATTAGGATCGAACCAATGACATTTGAATACGACTGGATTAGGAGCTTTGCGACACTCAAAATTGAGCTCGTATATTTCTTCTACTATGCCATAGTAGTCGTGCTCATCGGTGCCGGGCGTACGAACTCCAGTATTCATGGTTTTCCGATTGGGCCGACTCCGCTCGTAGTTTCTTGTGTGAAAGCAATAGTCATTCACATCATAAATGGTGAATGACTTGATCTTGTAGGCGAAGCCTTTGGCGAGCCCTTTCAACTCAGCATCCATTTCCGCATCCTTGCGGGCCTATAAGGTGAGGCCGGATAGATCGTTACATTACTCGCTCGTAGGAGCAAAGTGGGATGTCAAAGATTGAACGAGGTAAATTGGACGGTACCTTCGTATCGAACCAGGACATGAAATCGAGCACACCATCTTTGAGAAGATTATCTTCTTCTTGAGGGGAAGGAGCCCTATTCCCTCTCCAGTATTTATTCAGAAATTCTTTGAAAAAACAAGAGATAAGGGGGTTGGATAGATGGAGGATAGTGACAAGGGCATATGTAACAAGCTCATTGAGAACTTACTGCACATAAGGCTAAACTTCGTCAAGGTTCAACAACACATACAGCATGATAGTGCGCCACTCATCATGCCGCAAGGTCTTGGTGCCTAATGCGCTTGCCTTTTTGAGTTGCCCTTTGAAAAGGTTGAGGTTCAATGAACTCTCGTCCGCGTTGTAACGAGGGGGACGATTGTGCACGCTGGGAAGGCCATCCTTATAGTATGCTGTTGTGAAGTTTGACACCTCCTCCAGAATGAATGCCTCTGCCACAGAAGCCTCAATTTTGGCTTTATTTCTACACTTTTTTCGAAGAATCTTTAGACATCTCTCAATTGTATAGCACCAATGGGCCTGCACGGCCCCCCATTCGTGCCTCATATGGTAGGTGCAAAATCAGATGCTGCATCGCTAGGAAGAAGCTGGGTGGGAAGATCTTCTCCAACTTGCAGAGCAACACATGTGCCACTTTCTCCA